AAAATAAGGAGTAAAATATGCCAAAGATTGCCCTATGGGATTGACTGAATCATCTAGAATTACTCTATTATGAGGACAATAGGAAAGTTGGCTCTGGAAATGCTTCTGTTCGGGACTCCTTTAAACAACTTAAGTCAGGGAGGGAATGGATAGTAGTGGGTTGGACTCTGACCAGCTTCCAGTCAACTGTGGCACATGTTGGTTGGTGTTTGTCATGTCTCCTTCAACCTGACCTACCTAACAGAATTGTAGCAGTGAGAATAGAATGGGATAAATGGCTATGAATAATAATAATAATAATAATAATAATAATAATAATAATCTTTATTTATACCCTGCCACTATCTCCCCAACGGGGACTCGAGGCGGCTTACATGAGGCCAAACCCAAACAACAAATCACAACAAGATTAAAGTCAATACACCAGCAAAAACAGTAAAATACACACATATAAATAATAATAATTTTAAAAAAGCAATATACCAATACAATATCCACAGTCACGATGACAATGTTAAAAACTCAGGGTGAGATAATAGCAGTAGGTTATTTGCGAGGGAGAGCTTGTATAAACACAGGCTGAACAAGGCCTTCATATAAGGGGGGGGGAGGGGAGAGAGTGTACTCCAAGGACACGAATGTTGAGGGGACCAATAGTATAAGATTGTGTGGCTACTCTCCAAAGGCACAGTGGAAAAGCCATGTTTTAAGGTGCTTTTTAAAGGTTTCTAAGGTGGAGGCTCTCCTAATCTCTCTGGGCAATGAGTTCCAAAGTCGGGGGGCCACAGAGTCTTGTACCCACAAGACGAGCCTGTGAGACTGGCAGGGTGAAAGGAGGGCCTCCTCCGAAGAGTTCGGGCTGGTTCATGGAGAGAGATATGGTCACGAAGGTAGGCGGGTCCCAAACCATTTAGGGCTTTATAGGTGATCACCTGCATCTTGAATTGGGACCGGAAAATAAACACCAGCCAGTGAAGCTCCTTAAACAGAGAGGTTGACTGCTCCCTGTAACTCTCCCCTTTCTGTATGTGGAGTTAGTTCTTTAAAACAGTGTTTTCCAAACCTTTGTTTTCCAGGTGTTTTGGACTTCAGCTCCCAGGAGATCCAACAGTAAAAAATTTTGGGAGCTGATATCCAAACACCTGGAGGAACAAAGTTGGGGAAACTGCTTGAAAGGGAGCTTACTTGGGGAGTGTACAGATAAAGGCCAAATTCTAAAGGGTGGAAATCCCAGCTTGCACTGAATTTCATGAACCAGCCTTCTCTGTTTGTTGGCTGGGCATCCCAGGGAAGGTTGGCAGTGCAGGTGGAGGCCCGGCACCTTTCCCAAAACACATGGCGGCTTCTCCTTCTTTGACCTTCAAGCACAACCCTTTGAGTGAGTAAACACTTAAATCCCACCGCACACAGCTAATCCGATTTGTAGAGGCAGAGCCTGCGTGTAGCTTTACCTCTCTTTCCCTTATAGACAAAAGCCAAGATAATAGATCATTGTTCAGCCTTCCTTCAGTCCCAACGGCCTGTTTACTTCTGCAAGGTGAAGGAAAACCCATCCTGTTTTTTTCCCTCCTGGCTGAACCTTTGGGATACCCACTCAATCCAAGCTGAGGACCCTGAGGGCCCTTCCATATGGCTAAATAAAACCCCACATTCTCTGTTTTGAACTGGAATATTTGGCAGTGTGGACTCAGATAACGCAGTTCAAAGCAGATATTGTGGGATTTTCTGCCTTGATATCCTGGGCTATATGGTTATGTGGAAGGGCCCTGAGAAACACATATAAGGCCCATCTACACTGCCCTATGATGCAGTTAAATTGTACAATGAAGTTCGATGCATTATACTATGTCACGAAATTTGAAAAATGTTCTGCTCCTGTTCTGAAAGTGTTATTTCCTGTTTCTTGTTTTGAAAGTAGTTGAGGACGAGGAGTAGAGCCTTCTCGGTGGTGGCCCCTCGCCTGTGGAATTCACTTCCCGGGGAAATTAGGTCATCGACATCCCTCCTCTCTTCTAGAAGGAAACTAAAAACATGGATATGGGACCAGGCCTTTGGGTAATCTGGCAGATAGACAAAGGACAATGACGATTAGAATTGATAGGATTTGACAATTTTGAATGAATTTACGGATTCTGAGCTGGCGAACGTTGAGCATTAGACTGGTTTTATTGATTGCGATGTATAATTGATGTATAATTGATGTATAATCAATGTATAATTGATTGTTTTAATTGTTTTATAATTCCTGTTGATATATGTTTTTATCTTATTGTTTGTGTTGGCATCGAATTAAGCCGCCCTGAGTCCCCCCTCGGGGGTTGAGAGGGGCGGGGTAGAAATGCGCGAAATAAATAAATAAATAAATTGTTTTATTCCAGAACTTTCATTTTTGTGGCCCCACAAACTATGTTGAATTGGTTGAGAGACTCTGAGATATTCACTGAAAAGCTATAGCCAAATGTGCTGCAGGATGTCCCACAAAAGCAAAGTTTTGGCAGTTGGATAAACTTTTTCTCATTCTGAAAACCTTTTTCTCGTGATGATAGAACCAATTAGCAAATGATAATCCAGGAGCAAAAATCATGTGACATAGGCCCCTTCCACATAGCTGAATAAAATCCCACATTATCTGCTTTGAAGTGGAATGTATGGCATTGTAGATTCAGGGCCCTTCCACACAGCCCTATATCCCAGAATATCAAGGCAGAAAATACCACAATATCTGCTTTGTACTGGGTTATCTGAATCCACACTCAGATAATGTGGGATTTTCTGTTTTGATATTCTGGGATATAGGGCTGTGTGGAAGGGGTCTCAGATATCCTAGTTCAAAGCAGATATTGTGGAATTATGTGCCTTGAAAGTTTTCATTATATGGCTGTGTGGAAGGACACATAGCATTATATGACATAGTTGATGGGGCCCTAGGCTGCAGTCCTACTATATTTCCCTTTGAGGCTTTGTAGCTTCTGAAGCTAGATTTGGACTGAGTTTTACCCTCAAAGTTTGACACTGTCGACTAAATGTGATAGGATCCTGGGGTTTGTACTTAGCTGAGGCAGTTAGGGCCTCTTCCACACAGCTGAATAAAATCCCACATAAGTTTTGAACTGGAATATATGGTAGTGTGGACACAGATAACCCGGTTCAAAGCAGATATTGTGGGATTTTCTGTCTTGAGATTCTAGGTTATATGGCTGTGTGGACCCTTTTGGCAGAGAAGGCCCAAACCCATGTAAAACTACAGTTCTTATGATCTCAAAGCATGGAGCAAGGGCAAGCCTGCATTCATTCTACACCTGAAATCCACAGATTGATTGGGTCAAAGTTGGCTCAGTTCTGAGGGCCGTTCCACGCAGCCATATAACTCAGATTATCAAGGTAGATAATCCACAATATCTGCTTTATCTGAGGCAACACCGTCATATACTCCAGTTCAATGTGGATTTTATACTGCTGAGCAAGGCTGAGAAAGAGCCTAGTCTCTGGTCTGGGTATTACCTGATCCTGTGTAATTTGTGTTTGTATAGCATATTTCCCCAGTTATGAGGGACTTGTAAACGCCTGTATGTTATCTACCTAACAGTTGTGGATCCATGGACCTTAATAAAGTTGTTGTTGTTGTTGTACTGCTTTGTGGAAGGGGGTGTGAGTGTTGATTTGGGAGTAAATGTCTCCAAGAAGCCCCTTGAGGAATCCCTCTCCTTCCATTTCCTCCCAGGACTGATGGGATTTGGAGTTCAACATCTGGAGGACCATGCCTTTTTTTGGTTTGCCCAGGGCTATTTTGAATGGCAACCAAACAGCTGTTGGAAGGAAGGAAGGAAGGAAGGAAGGAAGGAAGGAAGGAAGGAAGGAAGGAAGGAAGGAAGGAAAGGAGGAAGGAAAGAAGGGAGGGAAAAAGGGAGGAAGAAAGAGGAAGGAAGGAAGGAAAGAAGAAAAAAAGGAAAGGGAAGGAAGGAGGAAAGGAGGAAGAAGGAAAGAAAGGAGAGAGGGAGGGAGGGAGGAAGAAGAAAGAAAGAAGAAAGGGAAGGAAAGAAGAAGGAAGGAAGGAGGGAGGGAGGGAGGAAGGAAAGAAGGAAGGAAGAAGGAGGAAGGAAGGAAAGGAGGGAGGGAGGAAGGAAAGGGAAAGAGAAAGAAAGGAGGGAGGGAGGGAGGGAAGAAGAAAAGAAGGAAGGAAGGAAGGAAGAAGGGAGAAAGAAGGAAGGGAAGAGGGAGAAAGAAGAGAGAAAAAAGGAAGGAAGAAAGGAGAGAGAGAGGAAGGAAAAGAAAGGAGGAAGGAAGGAAAGGAGGAAGGAGAAAGAAAAAGAAGGAAAGAAGGAAGGGAGGAAGGAAAGAGAAAGAAGAGAAGAAAGAAGGGAAGGAGAGGAGAAAGAAGAAAGGAAGAAGGAAAGGGGGAAGGAAAGAAGGAAAGAAGAGAAAGGAGGGAGGGGAGGGAGGAAGAAGGAAGAAGAAGAAGGAGGAAGGAAGAAAGGGAGGGAAGGAAGAGAAAAGAAAGGAAGGAAAGGAGAAAGGAAAAGACAGAGGCGGAGACGGGACGGGGAGCAACTCCGGAGCGAACTGCCTCCGACGCCGTGTCTCTTCCCAAATCGATCAATCCTCCGAAAAAGGATCACTGGAAAAGAGGTCCCACTTTCGGCATTGGGGCAAACTTCCTGCCGGCGAAAACTATGGAGTGTGGTGAAATCCCCTTCTCTGGGGTTTTATATTTTTTTGTTTAAAGCAGAGGCTGTATGGCCATCTGTCGAGAGCGCTTTGATTGTGTTTGGGGGTTGGACCGGACGGCGGTTTGGGGTCGCTTCCAACTTGCATCATTCTACGAATCAACGACGATTCCGCTTCTTTCTCTCTGGAGCAAAAGGAGGGGCAACGAAAAAAAGAGAGAGAAAAAAGAGGCGGCGTCCCCTTTAAATATATAGATTTCTCTAAGAAGACGAGCCGCCTTCTTGTGCTGCTGCTGCTGCTTCTTCTCCGCGCGCGGCTTCTCCTCCTCCTCCTCTTCTTGGTTCGCAGGCCGGCTTGTGATTGGCGGAGCCGCGTGAAGCCCTGGCGGCCGTGACATCAGCAAGGAGCGGGCCCACAAAAAGCGCGAGCGAGAGGAGGAGCGGCGGCAGAGGCAGAGAAGGCAGCAAAGGCAGCGGAGGCAGCGCGCTCTCCAAGACTTGCTTGCGCGGCCAGCGGACAACCCTGCTTTCCTTTTTCCCGCAAGAGGCGGCTTTGGGGAGACAAACTCACCAATCTTGGGCGCATCCTTAGGACTCTTCCCCCTCTTCGTCTTGTAGTTGCGTCTAGATATATTCTTCTTACTGCGATTTGCAACCTCGGGGATGTTTCCGAGACGGCGAGGCGGGCCAGGCTGGAGGCGGCCGGCGACACAGAGAGAATCCTCGCCTTCCTCCTCTTCGAGGCGGCCGAGAAGAAGATGCTAAGAAGACGGGCATTGCCAGGAGCCCGAGAGGCGGGGATGCGCGCTCCGCAGGCGCTCCAGAGCCAGCCCGGCCGGAGACTCAAGCCCAAGCCGAGCGGAGACTGAAGCCCAGCCAAGGAAGGAAGGAAGGAGGCGCGCCGACGGGGCCAGGCACTCCTCTCCCATGCGCGGCTCGGCTCCATGGACGTGCCCCAGTCCCATCCTCCTCCTCCCGCTGCTTCTTAGGCCGTCGGAGGGATCCTAAAAGGTAAAAGACCCCGCCAGGCACCTGCCGTCGAGGGGAGACTTCGGATGCGGATGCTCTCCATGCCTTACTAGGCTCATACTATGCGCCTCTCCAGTTGGGACAGTGTAGAGTGCTTTTAAGGGGTCCCATCTCCTCCTCGCTTCCTCCTGAGTCTCAGGTGAAAGAAATGAGGAGCTCTTCCCTTCCAAGGTGCGCCTCCTTGTCCCAATCTCTTGTTTTTCGGGATCTAGAAGCATTCTCTCCTGACGTTTCGCCTGCATCTCTGGCAAGAGGTTGTGAGGTCATTAAAAGACTCTTTGGGGCAGGGACTCGCAACCCAAGTTGCTTCTGCCACTTCCCTCCTTTGGTTTTCAGGCTTCCCTCTCCACGCCGCTTTGCACTCTTCGGCCCCGTCTACACAGCTGAATAGAATCCCATATTCTCTGCTCTGAACTGGGATATAGGGCAGTGTGGTCTCGGGGCCCTTCCATACACTCAGATAACCCAGTTCAAAGCAGATATTATGGGATTTTCTGTCTTGTTTTTTTGGGGATCCCTTCCACACAGCCCTGTATGCCAGAGTATCTGCTTTGAACTGGGTTATCTGAGTGAACACTCGGATAATGTGGGGTTTTCTGCCTTGGTTTTTTGGGGAGCCCTTCCACACAACCCTGTATCCCAGAATATCTGCTTTGATTTCTGAGTGAAAACACTGAGATATTGTAGGATTTTCTGCCTTAGTTCTTAGGGGGCTCTTCCATACAGCCTTGTATCCCAGAATATCTGCTGTGAACTGGGTTATCTGAGTGCACACTCAGATATTGTGGTGTTTTCTGCCTTGGTTTTTTGGGGAGCCTTTCCACACAGCCCTGTATCCCAGAATATCTGCTTTGAATTGGGTTATCTGAGTGCACACTCAGATATTGTGGGATTTTATCCCTTAGTTCTTGGGGGGCTCTTCCATACAGCCCTGTATCCCAGAATATCTGCTGTGAACTGGGTTATATGAGTGCACACTCAGATAATGTGGGATTTTTTGCCTTGGTTTTTGAGGGGCTCTTCCATACAGCCCTGTATCCCAGAATATCTGCTTTGAAGTGGGTTATCTGAGTGCACACTCAGATATTGTGGGGTTTTCTGCCTTCATTCTTGGGGGGTTCTTCCACACAGCCCTGTATCCCAGAATATCTGCTTTGAATTGGGTTATCTGAGTGCACACTCAGATATTGTGGGATTTTATCCCTTAGTTCTTGGGGGGCTCTTCCATACAGCCCTGTATCCCAGAATATCTGCTGTGAACTGGGTTATATGAGTGCACACTCAGATAATGTGGGATTTTTTGCCTTGGTTTTTGAGGGGCTCTTCCATACAGCCCTGTATCCCAGAATATCTGCTTTGAAGTGGGTTATCTGAGTGCACACTTAGATATTGTGGGGTTTTCTGCCTTTGTTCTTGGGGGGTTCTTCCACACAGCCCTGTATCCCAGAATATCTGCTTTGAACTGGGTTATCTGAGTGCACACTTAGATATTGTGGGATTTTCTGCCTTGGTTTTTTGGGGAGCTCTTCCACACAGCCCTGTATCCCAGAATATGTGCTGTGAACTGGGTTGTATGAGTGCACACTCAGATATTGTGGGGTTTTCTGCCATAGTTCTTGGAGAGCTCTTCCATACAGCCCTGTATCCCAGAATATCTGCTTTGAACTGAGTGCACACTCAGATAATGTGGGATTTTCTGCCTTGATATTCTGGGATAGAGTGCAGTGTTGAAGGGCCCTCAGATAATCCAGTTCAAGGCAGATACTGTGGGATTTCCTGCCTTGATTCTTGGGGGGCTCTTCCACACAGCCCTGTATCCCAGAATATCTGCTTTGAACTGGGTTCTCTGAGTCCACACTCAGACAATGTAGGATTTTCTGCCTTGATATTCTGGCATACAGGGCTGTATGGAAGGGTCCTCAGATAACCAAGTTTAAAGCAGAAGTTGTGGGATTTTATGCCTTGGGGGGTTTTTTTTTGGGGGGGGGGGGCTTCCACACAGCCCTGTATGCCAGAATATCAAGGCAGAAAATTCCCACAATATCTGCATTCTACTGGGTTATCTGAATCCACACTCAGATAATGTGGGGTTTTCTTCCTTGATATTCTGAAATATAGGGCTGTGTGGAAGGGCCCTCAGATAACCCAGTTCAAAGCAGACATTGTGGGATTTTCTGCCTTGGTTTTTTTGGGGAGCCCTTCCACACAGTCCTGTATTCCAGAATATCAAGGCAGGAAATTCCCAAATATCTGCTTTGAACTGGGTTGTCTGAGTCCACCCTCGGGACCCTTCCACACAGCCCTATATCCCAGAATATCAAGGCAGAAAATCCCACAATATCTGCTTTGAACTGGGTTATCTGAGTCCACACTCAGATAATGTGGGACTTTCTGCCTTGATATTCTGGGATATAGGGCTGTGTGGAAAGGTCCCATCCTGGGTTATGTTCATACCCCAGCTCTTGAAACTGGAGGCCTTTGCCCAGCACCTTGAAATGTCACCCCTCTCTGGCCTACAAACACCAGATCCCGTAGGCATTTGGAAGCTAAGCAGGGTCATCCCTGGTTAGGACTTGGATGGGCCACTTACAGTGAATATGAGATTTCAGAGAAGAGAACTGGGAGAACTAGACCTGAGGATTCCTTGTCATAGGGCCCTTCCAGACAGGCCCTATGTCCCAGGATCTGATCCCAGCATTTCTGTTTAACCCAGATTATGTGGCAGTGACTCATATAATCCAGGTTAAAGCAGAAAACCTGGGGTTAGATCCTGAAATATAGGGCCTGACTGGAAGGGCCCTTCAGCCCTCCACTGTCATATATATAACCCAGAATATCAAAGCAGGGAATCCACAATATCTGCTTTGAACTGGGTTATCTGAGTCCACACTGCCATATAATCCAGTTCAATGTGGATTTTATACAGGGGCCTAAGAAAACTCTTGGGGCTGCCTTAAGTTGAGAACTACTTAAAGTTGACAAAGTATGCTACTTTGAGTCCCCTTCTTGGAGAAAAGTGGGTCAGAAATAAATAAATAATAACTTAAAGGCACCCCCTGCTCTTATTATTATTTATTACTTTGTAACACAATTTGAGACATCTTCTCTTCCTGGTTTGAAAGTGTTATTTCCTGTTTAATTGTGTGATACTTACTGTCAATATAGCTGTTACACTCCAGAAACTGTTTTTGTGGCTGCCACAAACAATGTTGAATTGGTTGAGACTCTAGAGACCCTTCCACACAGCCATATAACCCAGAATATCAAGGCTAGAAAATCCCACTGTATCTGCTTTGAACTGGGTTATATGAGTCTACCCTGCCATATAATACATTTCAAAGCAAAACATATGGGATTTTATTCAACTTGTGGAAGGGACCCAGGAGATACTCATCAAAAAACTAGAGCAGGGGGATGTCCTACAAAAAACAAAGTTTTGGCAGTTTAATAAACTTTTCTCATGTTTTTATTATAGAAACAATTAGGAAATGAGATTTATAATCCAGGAACAAAAATTGTGTTGCATATGTTTGTTTATACCCTTCTTCATTGGGCTGGTGCATAAAACAACCATAAGGGATTGCAATTGCTTTGCTTTGGCTCAATAAATAGGAAGTATGTTTAATAGGAAGGAGGTTGTGAGTCTGAGAGTTTTAGTTCAACCTTTGATGGACTACCTTCCTTTAGAAAGTGGATGTGGAAGTGTCTCTGCTTTGAAAGTGGGTGATCCACTCCTGCCGCTGGGAGAGAGGGAGGTGTGTGCTGAGGAAGTGAAGTCAAAGAGACTCTCTCTGTTCTTAAGTTGCTTGAGAAGAGTGCACTTGTAAATGAAAATGTAGCTGTATAATGTATTGTCAAAGGTTTTCACAGCCAGACTCACTGGAGTTTTGTGTGGTTTCCGAGCTGTATGGCCCTGTTCCAGCAGCATTTTCTCCTGATGTTTTGCCTGCATTTGTGGTTGGCGACTTCAGAGGATCTGATTGTAGTAAAGCAAGTGGTGTGTGCATGTGTATATGTGTGTGTGTGTGTGTGTGTGTATATACACACACACACATATACACACCCCTGTAGAATGTCTGAATACCCAAACAATCTTTTTCTTTGTGGCCAATGTGACCCCGAAAGTATTAAAATGTCTGTGGTGGCGGGAGGGGGAGTGGCAGAGAGACCAAGAGGAAAGAGGTGGAAAGAGATTTCCATTAATGAGCAGGCAAGATAGGAGGCATATCCGAAGGAGAAGAAGTTGGAGGAAGAGGAGGAGGCATACTTGGCCACCTTAAGAATTTTTTTGTATGTGTGCCAGGAACGACTTGAGAGACTGCAAGTTGCTTCTGGTGTGAGAGAATTGGCTGCCTGCAAGGATGTTGCCCAGGGGCTGCCTGGATGTTTTGCCATCCTGTGAGAGGCTTCTCTCATGTCCCTACATGGGAAGCTGGAGCTGACAGATGGGAGCTCACCCCAATCCCTGGATTTGAACTGTCAACGTTTCAGTCAGCAGTCCTCCCAGCACAAGGGTTTAACCCATTGTGCCACCTTAAGAATGAATGCAGGCCATGGCCACAATCCAGCACATGGAGAGGGGAACTGTTTGAATCTTAACATCCACTTCATTCTGTGCTGACTTTACCACTTTAGTTTGTCATCAGCTTTCTTTTCTTTTACTTTCTCTTTCCTTCTTCCTTCCTTCCCTTCTTCTTCTTCTTCTTCTTCTTCTTCTTCTTCTTCTTCTTCTTCTTCTTCTTCTTCTTCTTCTTTTTCTTCCCCTCCTCCTCCTCCTCCTCCTCCTCCTCCTCCCAAATATCAGCCTTCACTTGATACACCAGATTTTGTTTTTTCAGTGCTATGACAATTGCCCATGCTAAACCTTTGGGAACTGATAGGCTATAAACCCAAGCTCACTGCTTAAGCAGCAAAAGGGGTTGTCGCTTCCGCATGCTCACTTCCTTGATAATCCCTTCATAAGGTTATATCTCATGAAGTAAGCTCATGAAAACTTACTTTAAACCCATCTGGCTAGTTCTTTTAAGGTGCCCCTTTTCCACAAAATATTTAACTCACCCCTATATGCATAGGGCCCTTCCACAGAATATCAACCCAGAATATCAACGCTGAAAATCCCACAATATCTACTTTGAAGTGGGTTATCTGAGTCCACACTGCCATATATTCCAATTAAAAGCAGAAAATGTGAGATTTTATTCAGATGTGTGGAAGGGGCCCTAGTTATTAATTTTCTTTATCGCTTCCATTTCCCCCCAGGTCCTTTTATATTATACAATTAGAGTGCCGTGATTCTACTTTAATGGATGTGGTTTTATCTTGCGGACTCCTGGGATATTTGAGGGAGGGGCATTTGGAATCTGTAGCCCAAGGAGTGCCACTGGTGCCAAACTACGAAGCCCAGGATTCCATAAGATTCAATCATAACAATCAAAGTGGAACCACAATGCTACAACTGTATTGTGTAAAAAGACCCCATTCTTATGTCACTCCAGCTCCATGCAAACCATATTTTAATAAGCAAATCTTAAAGTTGCCAACTGACTAGCGCCTTAGACCTGTAAAGCGCACTCCTAGACTACCATCTTTAGAAGGTGGTACGAGCATGTACATAGGTTTGATTCGTTTTTGTCTTCTTCTACTACTACCGCTACTGGTAGTAAAATTCTGTTCTTATTTATTCGCCGGGGGACTTCAGCCCCCCCCCCCCCCCAAATTCTCATGGTGGTTTGCGAAAAGGCCTTACTGGTGCATTATTTAAACTGTTATGTTTATTCATATCATGATCTGATCACCATACTCAATATATCCCATATGCATGGGGTATTGGGGTAATGATACAAAAGGTTTGCTAGGCTAGACCCTCTTTCACTCAGACTTCAGCCCCCCCCCCCCCCCCGAATCAAAATCCTGGCTATGTGCCTGACTCTAGAGTAGAAGAACGACCTCGTAAAATTATCTATACTACCTACCACCGCCATCCATAAGGCTATCTCCTTCTAGCTGTTTGGAGTGGAACAACAGCTTGCCACACTTGAATGGACCTAAGTTATCAGATGAGCTTGTGAAAGAGACTCCTGCCATTCCTGTGATTATGATTCATACAGGCCCGTAGCCAGGATTTCGTTTCGGGGGGGGGGGGGGGCTAAAAAATTTTCAGGGGGGGTTTGGGGGGGCTGAGTTTCGGGGGGGGGGCTGAGTCTGAGTGAAAGAAGGTCTAGCCTAGCAAACCTTTTGTATCATTACCCCAATACCCCCATGCATATGGGATATATTGAGTATGGTGATCAGATCATGATATGAATAAACATAACAGTTTAAATAATGCACCAGTAAGGCCTTTTCGCGAACCACCATGAGAATTTCGGGGGGGGGGGGGGGCTGAAGCCCCCCCCCCCCCCCCCGGCTACATGCCTGGATTCATACACTATTTTCCCACCATGCCAGTCGTCTCTATACAAATATTATGGGCCAGTGTGGCAGTCCCTTATGGCACTGGGTTTCCTTTACAGTAGTTCCATTCTCTTCTTTCTTTGTTGAGAGTAGAAAGGATTTTAGGTAGGCCTCCAGAAATCTACTTTGTTGGCAAGGCATTTGCGCCTTTCCCAAATTTTGTGTCAATGTTCACAAAGTTAATGCTGAGTTTGGAAAACTTCTGTTATCATCCTCATCCTCTGAATCTCTCAATTACACTCGGATGTTAAGAAACTGGGAGCTATATTGAGTTTTTTCCAAATGCTGACTGAATATCACTTTTGACAAACAACAACAACAACGTACACACACACACAGATTTCCACAAACACATACACATATTTTATGAATATGTTACTAACAGGGTTAATTAGAGGGAGGTGTTCTTTGCTTGGGCATTTTCTTCAGTTTTAACTGTGGAACTGGATATTGCCTCCCCTCAAGGTCCTTCATTTGTATTGCCCAGTTTTTATCAGCTTGAATCTACTGCAGTGTATCTCAACATGTGTCTCCTCAGATGTTTTGGCCTTCAACTTCCAGAAATCCTAACAGCTGGTAAACTGGCTGGGATTTCTGGGAGTTGTAGGCCAAAACACCTGGGGACCCACAGGTTGGGAACCACTGCACTATGGTGTCATAGAAAATTGCTACTCATCCAAGGAATTAAAGAGAATCAGAAGAGAGACTGATTAAGAGAGAAATAATGTTCTGCCCAGTTCTCATTGGGATCAGGAATTTTTTTTGAAAGTTTGATTTCTAGGGAGATGAAAAAGTACACACAAACACCTGTGCCAATAAAGCAGAGGACTAGAAAAGAAATCTGGATCATTGCCTGCATGTTGTTTTTTCTGACCATATTGATTCCTTATCACCTTTCCATACTAATGTGTTCTTCTCAACTTTTTCCTCATGTCTACAGGTTGATGACCATGGTTGCCAGGACCTGCTCTCTACTAGCACTGCTGCTTTCTCACATATTGCTTGGTGGTTCGGCCAGTCTCATCCCAGAGGTGGGGGACCGGCGCAGATTCAGTAGCGATTTGAGTCAGGCTGCCCCCCTGAAACTCTCGGAAGGGATCCTGCGTGAATTTGAACTTCGTCTGCTCAACATGTTTGGGCTCCAGCGACGGCCGACCCCAAGCAAGAATGCCATAATTCCTCCTTATATGTTGGAGCTCTACTACCTGCACACGAGTCAGAAGCCAGCCACCATGGACTATAATCTGGAGAGGGCTACCAGCAGGGCCAATACAGTTAGGAGCTTCCACCATGAAGGTAAGTTTCAGTCTCCAGCTTTCATCATGACAAACTAAACACAAGTCCAGCTGAGCTGACCTGGATGTTGGCAGCCTACGGTGTTGAACTCAAGGTTTGCCAAGGTGTTTAGCAAGTTGGTTAATTCAGCCTTACCATTTGCTCATTTGATATGTATCGCTTCCTGCTGAAATAATTGGGAATTCCAAGTTACACAATTTCAAGTCCCTTCCGGTTGATTGACAGGTAGAATGCATATGCTGTGCTGTGGTGAAAATCACAATTTTGAAAGACAGTTTTCAGAAATTTGAGATTCAAATATACATTATTGAGAAGGGCGGAATATAAATACGGCAAATAAACATATGTATTTACTATATTTATTCTCCCATCCTCTCTCACCCCAAAGGGGACTCAGAGCAGCTTCTAAATATTATATGTATATACAATCTATATAAATAAAAATGTAATGTTCATTTGTAGGATTAACATAACTCAAAAACACCGGACAAATTGACACCAAATTTGGACACAATACACCTATCAGGCCAACGAGTGACAATTACTCATAAAAACACTGAAAATGCATCAGAAGAGACTTAAAAAGCCAAAAAACAAAAAAACCTTTACAACGCATGTGCAAAACAACATATATACACAAACACACATATATACACATATGCACAAATATATATACACACAAAACATACACAGACTGGGCCACAGAAATGTGTGGCAGGGGACTGCTAGTATATTATATTATTAGCATAGCACAATATTAGTATTATTACTATTTTGTACTATAGCACTATACTGCAATATTATTAGTAATATTACATGTATTATATACAATTATTATATTATATTATATTATTATTCGTATTATGTTGTATTACATTATACATTGATCAAGTTTGATTGGCTAGTTTAGAAAAAGTGGAACATAGATATAAGACCACCCTTTTCTCCCTCCTGCTAAGAAAATGATTCCCTTAAGATGGAAATGAACGTGGTATATTTTGTGTGTGTGTGTGTCTGTGCCTTCACCTTCAATAAGAATCAGTGTAGATTAGTGGTTTGAGTGTTCAGCTTCAACTCTGGAGACCAGGGAATCCTCACTTTGCCTTGGAAACCCACTGGGTAACCTTGGGCAAGGCACACAATCTCACCCCCAGAAATCTAAAGGCACGTAACAATAACATGTGCCTTCAACTCATCTGTCCACTTATGGTGATGCCATGAATTGAGTTTTCTTAGGCAAGGAATACTTACCCATCCTCAAAGTGTTTTTAACTTAGAACTCCTCTTAATTGAGGAATTTATCACACAAAGCTGCTATTTCACGGCAGTCATGCGATAGCAAGGTAATGGTATGAACACCCTTGCTATTGCACATCTCTGCAATTGTGAAACCACAGGGATTCGGCACTCTGTAGCCTTATATTCCTATCTCAATATCATTTCATAACCCCACCCTCTCATGCTTCCACTGTCCTGTAATTAAAAATAATAATTTTACTACAGTTTTACAATTCCAACAGTGCTTGATTTATTTTTTAAAAAAACATTTCAAATCTATATAAATAAAAATGTAACTATCGTTTGTGGGATTAACAGAAATCAAAAACCACTGGACAAATTGACACCAAATTTGGACACAGTGCACTTATCAGGCCAACGAGTGGCATTCACTCATAAAAATACCAGAAAACACAGCAGAAGAGACTTAAAAAGCCAAAACACAAAAAAATACATTACAACACATGTGCAAAACCACAGACATAAACGCAAACACACATATACACAACTATATACACACATATATACAGACACAAAACACATATACACAGACTGGGCCACAGCAACGCGTGGCAGGGGACAGCTAGTAAAACATAAAATTAAAAGAAACTGACTTGGCAATAGTGAAGGGAAGATTGAGGGGTCAGAGATTGGGAGAGGAGGATAATATTTCTTTCCTGATGTCACTTCAGTGCTGGCATATCGGCATAGAAGCAGGAAGGCCGATTTGCACCAGGTAGGTGATGGAATCATGACATAATCTATGGCTATTAATGGATTTTCCCATCAATAGCAAGAGGCAGGTTTATCATGGGGAGGAGGCAGGCCAGCAATGCATATGATATAGTGTGACAGGGAGCGTCACCAAAAGTGGCAGACTAGCTTCTGTATTGGTTTGTCTCCTTTGTTCGATAATGTTCTTATTGTGGATCAGTACAGACCTACCTATGGGCCCCCTGGTGGTGCAGCGGGTTAAACCGCTGAGCTACTCAACTTGCTGACCGAAAGGGGCAGTTTGAATCTGGGGAGTCGGGTGAGCTGCAGCTGCTAGGCCCAGCTTCTGCCAACCTAGCAGTTCAAAAATATGCAAATTTGAGTTGATCAATAGGCACCGCCTTGGTGGGAAGGTAACAGCACTCCATGCAGTCATGCAGCCCACATGACCTTGGAGACATCTACAAACAGCGCCGGCACTTCAGCCGAGAAATGGAGATGAGCACCAATCCCTAGAGCAGTGGTTCTCAACCTGGGGTCCCCAGATGTTTTTGGCCTATGACTCCCAGAAATCCCAGCCAGTTGACCAGCTGTTAGGATTTCTGGAAGTTGAAGGCTAAAAAGGCCCAGGTTGAAGGCCCAGGTTGAGAACCACTGCCCTACAGTCTGACATGACTAGACTTAATGTCAGGGGAAACCTTTACCTTTACAGACCTACCATTTTAAAACTGAACCAGTACTAAAAGTACCTGCAATCATTTGGATATAACACCCTAGTTCTCTTCACAATGTGTAAGTTTTTAATATGAAACACTTGTGCTGTGGGGGCATTTGTTTGACGGGTTAGAACTTCACAGAATGGATATAACAGTTAATAGTGCTGATCTTAAATTAGGAAGGTTCATATTCTTCATCATCAATATGAAGTCTAGTTTGGAAGAGTATAGGCAATTGTAAAGAGAACGATATCATGGCCATTTTCTTGCATGTCATTTGGCCCTTCAGTCCCAAAACCAAATGTAAATCTGATTATTGCTAAATACTATGGATTACTCTATGAGGCTGTCAGCTGGATTTTTTGTGAACCATCATATTTGAAGAGTGACGATCTATGTAGCCCGTAATCTTTTGCTTTCACAATAATAACCACCATGGCATCCCATGGCCTTGAATGTTACCAAATTAAGAAACCCAGATTTCAAAGTATCTTTCTAAAATTCCAATAGTGATAGAAGCGTCTGCCCCATGTAGTCTTGTACATCTGCTTATGCTGGTTGTGGGTGGTCATGTTGCCAAAAGTGGGGGTGGGGGGGGGTGAGATCAGAGAAGTTTTCTTGCTCAAGGTGATGTGTTCATGTATAGATTATAGGAAACAGCCTGAAGTCAAAATGGGGAGGAGTACAAGGAATTTCACATTTTTACGGGGTAGGTAGCAGTCTTATTGGTGAGATTTAGATTAGAGAGATGGGCCAAAACTAACAAAATGAAGTTTAACAGAGACAAATACAAGATACTCCACTTTGGCAGGAAAAATGAAATGCAAAGATACAGAATGGGGGATGCCTGTATTGAGAGCAGTACGTGTGAAAAAGATCTTGGAGTCCTCGTGGACAACAAGTTAAACTTGAGCCAACAATGTGATGTGGCGGCAAAAAAAGCCAATGGGAATTTGGCCTGCATCAATAGGAGCATAGTGTCTAGATCTAGGGAAGTAATGCTACCCGCTCTATTCTGCTTTGGTTAGACCACACCTGGAATATTGTGTCCAATTCTGGGCACCACAATTCAAGAGAGATATTGACAAGCTGGAATGTGTTCCAGAGGAGGGCGACTAAAATGATCAAGGGTCTGGAGAACAAGCCCTATGAGGAGCGGCTTAAGGAGCTGGGCATGTTTAGCCTGAAGAAGAGAAGGCTGAGAGGAGATATGATAGCCATGTATAAATATGTGAGAGGAAGCCACAGGGAGGAGGGAGCAAGTTTGTTTTCTGCTTCCTTGGAGACTAGGATGCGGAACAATGGCTTCAAACTACAAGAGAGGAGATTCCATCTGAACATGAGGAAGAACTTCCTGACTGTGAGAGCCGTTCAGCAGTGGAACTCTCTGCCCCGGAGTGTGGTGGAGGCTCCTTCTTTGGAAGCTTTTAAACAGAGGCTGGATGGCCATCTGTCAGGGGTGATTTGAATGCAATATTCCTGCTTCTTGGCAGGGGGTTGGACTGGATGGCCCATGAGGTCTCTTCCAACTCTTTGATTATATGATTCTATGATTCTATGATTTTATTTCCTCGTACATTTAAAGAGTAGAAGGCTATTGTTCTTTATTTTAATCCTTGTTTTAAAATGTCCTTTATTGCTTCCAAGCAAGAGAAAAAGTGAATGTATTTTTATTTTTATAGCGTCTGTCCTAGTGTTGAGTTTCCACCAAAAACTTTGATTTCGAAGGCTACATAGCAAGGAATGTCTGTCTAACATACAGCGAGCTATAGGGTCATTCAAAAGGTATTCTAATCCCCTTCTAATCCCCATGAGAGATCAATTTTAACAATCAATTGTATTGTCTTTACCGTGACTTTGTCTTCTGTTCGAATCTAGGTTTAGCATAGACCTAAGGTAAGCTCTTCAGGAAGCAAGCCTGTCCCTTGGATTCAGGGGCAACTAGGATTTAAGGTTACTCAGGTAAAAAGACAGTGGCAAATGTGCACTTAAGAGAGACAGAATAATTAGGAATTAAAGCAATACGCTGTTCCAATATGGTCTGTTACCACAAATCCTTGCTCCTTTTTTTTTTTTAGAGCTCAGCCGTTTTACTAAATTAAAGGGATCTTGCTTGAAATTGTATGCAAAGTGCTTATATCAAAGCTCCTTAAAACCTGAGCAAACTTGCCCAGAGCAATACTTAAAAAGCACTTGATCTTTATATTGCATTTGCAGGCAATTGTTTCATTTTGTTTTTGCCGCCTGCCATTTTTCTCTTTCATGTACATCCCAGCATTTCTCCATTTTAGT